CCCCCCCCCCCTCCTTCAGTGTTGTCCTTTGCATGACACTAAAAGAGGGGATACCACAGTGACTCTCTTCTAAAGACCTCGCCGTTCGTTTGCGAAAGCTGAACCGAGGAAAATTCATAAATATAAAACAAAATTATATTTATTCAATCGAAGCATGCAATTGAATGATCAACAGAATCTGAAGGAGTTGTGAGAAACTTGAAATAGAAATTATTCCAAGACCGCGCGCAAACTACGTGACTCACGGGCATTTGTACGTTTCTGGTGGAATCTATGATGGTGAGAACGTCATTCTTGATGAGATTACAAATTTCATAGAGTTTTCTTATATTTTGTTTACTTTTTGTTTCTTATGTGACGTTCTGTTCATTCTTCTATGGCTATTTTTGACTTAGAATACTGTGTAAATCATCAAGGTACACAACATCATAATTCCACTTTGAAAAATCTGATAGTTACAAGAAATAAGAGCGACATTATACATTGATTGGATGAAAAATATTGTGGATAATTATGTATTTGTTATCGCGCGATTTAATGTATGATTATTTATTTTGTGGAACTGATTTATTTACAAGCGTACAGCATTGAGTGATAATGCCGTAAAAGTGACATTAAAAAATGAGAAATAAAATAAAATTATCAATCATGACGAAATTTTTTTTTATAGACCTGTGTGACGATCCATGAGCTTGGGAAGAATTTAAATATCACTTTTTTGTCAGAGAATGAAATATTGGAGAAAGAAAGGGGAAAAAATATCAGAGGGGTAGTACAAAGTTATCTCAGTTCTTCGACTCATTTTTTCTCGCTTTTTTTCGAATGAATTTCTATGGAGCATTGTGACAAAGACGTCGCATTAAAACAAAGTTCTCATAAATTTCTGATTCCCTCACTCCTTGAGGAAAGTATTCCGACCTTCCTTCATGTACCTTCACCCTCTGATTAAGAATAAAGTGAAAAACTTAGAAGCAGCACGTTTGCTGTAATGCAAATATCACAATTTCAATGAACAAGTGTCAATTCCAAATTTTTTGTACTTAGACATTACACAATTTTTAAGTGTTTCTCATTAAATATATGCTATTCGCGATAAAATAATGTAAAAAAACCGTGGGAATTTTTTATTTTATCTGACTTAATATTTCTACAATCACCGTGATACGTACTAGCAAGTTTAAAGCAACTTATACTTACATTTGAATAATTTCGATTGCGCTCCCCGTTAATATTTCTAATCGTTACACTTCACTGAGAAATTGTAATTAATTGAATCGTGTAACTGAAAACAATTGTGTATATGAAGACTTTTTTCGAACCACGGAAGTAATTATTTGTATAAATTTGGAAGAATACCCTTAAATCACTGTAATCTTACAATTATAGAATGAAAATAAGAAATCTGTATATTTGAAATAATTGTCCAATTCGAATGATAATATTATAACTGTATTATCGCGGCTTGATAAGATGGTACTAGATTTTAAGATAATTATATTATAATTTAAGAATTAATTATCAATTTTCATTATCATCAATTTATTGTATTATTAATATTATTACATTGTGTAAATAGATAAACAATTGTCAATATAGATGAGATTGGGAGAGATGAGCAAGTGAGCGATTAATAATGATGATATAATTGAAAACAAATGTCTTCTTTTTTCCATTCCCACAATGAGTTTACGCATCTAACGTTTTAGCTTGGCCATATTTGTTTTTTGGCTATTGGAATTTTAATGCCAACTGCATTGTGTGCCATCCCCGCGAATCAACTAGATGAGCCTTACGAAGTGAATAACAAGTGACGCGGCAGCATGACGCCGCCACGTTATTGTAGACCCAATGGGGAAATGAAGGTCTGCCCGGATGTTATGGAGTGGTCTTCAAAGATGGAATTTCTATGGCTAGGAAATAATGAGAAAAATATTAATTTTCCATGATTATTGGAAAGGAAAATATTTTCAGCAACTTTCAAAAATGAGTTGAGTTCAGGTGCCAATTTCAAAAATTTTCACCTAATAAAATCGTTTGCTTCATTTATCTGACGACTGCGTCTTTTTTATTTCCTCTTTTCTGACCACTGAATTATCAAAATTATCTGTACACAGGGAACAAATTAATTTTTTCACTTTTTTAAAATGAAATTTAAAAATATATGGGGGGGGGGATTCCCTTATCGCGCGATTGGTTGAAACTTATTAAAAACGTAAATATTTCGGAAAGTCAAGAAAGTAAAGAAATTTGCAAACCTAGTGGTTGGCATGGAACTTCTTTGATTCAAGTCTAGAAATTTTCCGAAAAGAAAAAAAATGGTAGACGGCAGACGCCTAGGCTCCACCCGTAAAAAATTGCAACTCAAGAAGCGATAGAAACCCGTAAAATGTAATCGAAACAAATATTCGTTTTTTCTGGGATCTCAGCATTTCAAGGTGTGATCAATAATATGATGACAAACTGAAGACTCTTAATTTTGGAAAAGAAATGTTTCGAAAATAATTCAGTGGTGATGAGGTAAACGTTCTAAGTAGATTTTTTTAATTGAAAATTAGATTTCAATTAAAATTGCCTCCCACTACAAGTTTTTCAGCCCTCCTAAAAAATGAATTTTTTTATTTGAGCCGTTTAATCTCTTCGCTACTGAATTGGAAACCGTGATGTTACTTTTGGATAGGTTCCATGGCCTCCTAAAATTCTACTTCAAAATTGTTCTTACCAATACTTCAAAGCGATTTATCGACTATTTCACAGTCTAACATGATGCCGACGGCTAAATGACGATGACTATGAAACTAAATGACAGCATAAATCTCGAAAAATTACAGGAAGGTGGAAATTTTCGATTTTTTCTCGAAATGCGGCGTCCCCTTAAACCCCCCCCCCCCGTCCCCAACGAAAATAAATATTAAAATATTCACTAATGAAAAATTCCAAAGATTATGCTTACGGCCATAATTTTCTCAATATTGGAAACATCGGAAAAAGTGGGCCACTTAAGCCTCCTACTTGAATATCCTTAAACGCTGTATTCTGGTACTTCTGCTCTCTTACGAACACAAACTGCTCAATCTTCACATGGATCCATTCCGCCGGGGTCTTTTCTCACGGGTAAAACCGCATGGATTACATTATGCAGTATATCGCGAAAACCTGGGATAAAAATTATGCCGTTTTTTTGGGAAAGGTTAATGAGTACGAGAAAAAAAAGAAAGAACAACAGGACGTGTTTCTCGAGATCTCCCTTTATATGCATAAATTACATCATTACGGGTTGGATGGCGTCACTTAATGACGATGGGCTGATGTTAAATCAAGATATATAACTCCAAGTGTAACACTACCGTTCACCCATCGCGTGACTCAATTCACCTCGTGTTGTGAAACTTAAAGATAAATTAATTCTATTAATTCCGTCAAGTACAAGTCCATTCAATTCAATGGGTCGACGACAAAGTACACCGTTTATTTTTTCGTGGCAGAGTTGACGACAGACATTGTAATGAACCGTAATTTTCAACAATTTCACCTTTCATATTTCCCATGAAACATATTGAAATGCGTTATTTGCGTGTACGATGCCTTCAGTTGTATATCTAGACGATACTATTATCATCATCATCACGTATAAGATGCTGTCCATACACGTAGCCAACATTACGTTGCATACAGTGAGACGACCCAGGGTAGAGAAGTAAGAGGCCTCTTCTCTTCTCCGTGTGCATACTTGCTGGCGGTATATGCACGTCGTTTAGAGTGACTTTCACTTGCCCTCCGGTGAAGCGTAGATGCTGAGCAAAGTTTACGTCCCCATGATATGATCATCCTCGTTTTGCCTCTTTCTAACTCCAGTATATCGCCTCTCCTCATTCCATTCTCTTTCTCTCTCATATTTTTCTCCTTCTCTTCCACAATATGTAATGGTACTTTGTGTAACTAGCATCAAGGGAGCTGTATGAGAGAATAAATGCCATTGGCATCATCCCCGGACTTTTCACATAAGTCTCAAGTCAACAGAGAAACTAAACAATTTCCTCATAAATCGGAAATAATAATATATATGACGAATTGAATTGAAACGGAAAAGGAAGGGCCACCGAAACTCGACTAAACTGTTCTGCATCCTAATCAGGGCGTAGCGGAAAAATTAATTGCCGGATGCAATCCGATCGATTCCCACGACTCTATCCCATGTGGATATTATACGGGCAAGTGTTCGAATGAGCCAGGGAGAGTGCCTGTGGGAGATAGGAGCCCGTTTTTATCGCGTATCGTCAGTGGAAGCACCCGATCTGTCTGGTCCATTATCCCTTCTGAATCACTGTTTCATATATTTCATACTTTTCATCGTCGCCAGTATATCCATTTCTTCCGTCTTCCTCACCTGTGTGGAAATAATTGTGACGAAGAGTATAATGCCGTTGATGATTCAACGCTGCGAATAATTATAAGCATCGACATCATTTTTTTTCTTCGTATGGAAAGCAATTGCATAGTGTTATTAAAAAAGTTTGATATGCAAGAGAAGTCACCCTCCCTGAGAAAACGGTACCCTATAATATAGAAACTAAAAACCAAGAAGCAATCAACGTTCAGCGGTGTAGACAACTATCAAGTGGTATATACGGAAGATGTTAGAGGGACTTCCACTCTAATAAGAATGCAGGTAGTAATATGCAAACGACCCAACTATGTACGTGGCTTTTCACCACAGATACATACACATTAACACTAACATTTTGAGATACCGTC